ACACACACACACACATATATATATATATATAAAAATTTCATTTATTTACTAAAATGTGGCGATGCATAGTTTTAATTGATGCATGCAAACCAAAAGATTATTCATAACAAATGAATGTTCTGTCTGACATTAGTTCAGAAACAGCTTCACATTATTAAACAAAACACACAAAAACAGTCAAATTAACACTATAAAACCTATGGAACAGAATCTAAAGTATGATTGGATGATCTGCGACATTGCGCCCGTAAACAACTACACTTGGCTTTAATAACAAGTTCAGCTTGACTTATTAAAACTAATATCCATGCATTTGGCTCTAGCGCAGCATAGTAAAATGTTTTGCGTTGGATGATACCATCACACCGCCCAGCACTAATACTAACCGTTGTGTGTTACGTCTCCATGTCTAACTAACTCTACACCTTAAGATCAGCGATCTAACCACGTCCTCCCGTTTCTCTCTCTTCCTTGTGCTTTTTGTTCCTCGTGTCCTTCTGCACCTCAATCTGTTCCTTTCCTTTCCTCCTGTGTAGCAGCTACACCCGGCTGTAAGTGCTTCGCTGTGTGTGTTTCTGTGCTCATAGACGTGTCTCTCCTCTGCTTGAAAGCCTCCTTTCATGGTGTATGTCAGTGTGTTTGCGTAGATAGGACTACATGTGGAAAAACACTCACTGTGTGTGTGTGTGTGTGTGTGTGTTGGTGTTTTAGCTCTGAGCTTGTTTACGCTGAGTTTGTTCACAAACCGCTCTTTTGCCGTTTCTGTTCTAGAATTCCATTTAGAACGGACACCCCTTCTGACTTCCTCTCACCCCCCAGAGATCACAGGTTAGTCGCTCGTCTGGCTTTACAAACAGCTCTCTGTGTGCAAACACACATACACACACACACACATGAACACATAAACACACGACTGCACACGAAACACACATGCTGCTGATTTTCCCGCAAATTAAAGGTCAGAGACAGAGCTGCAGTGTGTCATTTCTGCAATGCAATCATGTGTTTTCAACCAGGTTTTCCTAAACTAGTCGCTGGTTGAGCCTTAAATTAACATGCAAGACTGCTTAAAGAGAGTAATGTTACAGCCAGCCTACAAAAGGTGCATATAGATTTTTCATTAAAGAAATTAATACTTTTATTCAGCAATGATGCATTTGATCAAAACTGACATTAAGGACATTTATAATGTTACAAAAGTTTTCTATTTCAAATAAGTGCTATTGATCAAAGAATCCTAAATATACATTAGTGCTGTCAAACGATTAATCGCGATTAATCGCATCCAAAATAAAAGGTTTTGTTTACATAATATATGTGTGTATATTATGTATATTTATTATGTATATATAAATATAAACACATGCATGTATATATTTAAGAAAACTGTTATGTTTATATATTAAATATATTTATATATAAATTTAATAAAAACTGTATACATGTATATTGTAACTATATATATATATATATATATATATATAGTTACAATATACATGTATACAGTTTTTATTAAATTTTATTTTTGTATGTATATGTACTTTATATATATTGTAATGTGACATTAGTAAAATAACATGAATATTCAATACATAATATAGGGTGGGGCTTGATTTGAGTCATTTTGGGTTTGATTGGATCATAAAAAAATGACATTATTATTACTTCCTGCCAAATGACAGTGGTTACATCAGCAGAATAGTCAGAGGTGGACATTTTGACAAAAAGATTACAAAAGCAAGCATTAGAATAACATGTGTTGCATGTTATGGTGAAAAGTCAGCTTAAAATAAATCTTAAGTTGACTTTTCACCATAACGTGCAACACATGTAACAGGATATTAAAGTATGGCATGACGTGACGATCTCAAACTGACATGTATTTGTGTGGCATCCTGTCTCTCTCCGTCCCGCAGCCATTCCACTGACGGCCTACGGTCCAATGGCAGCGGCCGCAGCTGCAGCGATGGTCAGAGGTACGCAAAATCTGTCAGATTTTGAGATTTATTAAACTCTTTCCACTTGTAAAGCACCTTCTGAATTTTAAAATGCCTGTCCTTTACCGTAGGTTCCACCCCCTCACGTACCGCTGGCTTCCTGGGCACCAGCAGCCCTGGGCCAATGGCAGAACTGTATGCAGCAGCCAATCAGGATTCAGGAATCAGCGGCTATATCAGTGCGGCAAGTCCCGTCCCCAGCACAGGGTTCGGACATGGACTTGGGGTAGGTTCAATCAGATATATAGACACATATACACACATTTAGAAATGTAACTTTATTGTCAAAAAGGACAAAAGTAATAAATATTAAAGTCCATGCGGCTAGATTGAAGTGCCCCATTGAATTCTATTGAAAGTGCATTACTATTTATTTTGGTATGCACTATTACACTGTTATTTGTATTTTATTATTTGCATTTATCATTGTTTTTAAGTATAAGTGTTATTTCAGTCTTTACATCATATTGTAGTATTTATAAATATTTAAATTTTATATTAGCTTAATATTTTTTAAATTTTATTTTAAGTTTTAGTAATTTTGTTATGTGCTTTTCTCATTTTTATTAGTTTTAGTTTTAAAATATTTCTCTTTAGCTTTCTTTTTATTTTAGATTTTTGACTTTAGTACTTATTTCAGTTAGTTGCAAGGCAACATTTCTAATTTCTATTTTTTTTAAGTTTAGTTATTTCATCTAATACTTTTATTTTATTTCAATTAATGAAGATTTTTCAATAGTTTTAGTTAACAATAACAGCACTGCTAAGAACAGACCTCCTCCATTTTTTAGACTTATTTATATGCTGTAAGTATTAATTAAGTATTTTTAATTTTAAATTTATATAGATTTTTTTTAAAATTTCTATATCAATTAATATTTTAATTTTAGTCGAAGCTTTAGTGATTGTATGGGTTTTTTTGTATTAGGTTTTACATATATTTCTACTTCAATTTATTTTTATTTCAGTCTTAGTTTTAGTAATTTTAGTATTTTAACTTAAACATATTTCAGTAAGCTGCCAGGACAGTATTTTTCATTTTTGCGCAAGTTTTTTAAGTTTAGGTTCTTCATCTAATACTTTTATTTTATTTCAGATTCTTTTAAATTGCAGAAAATTATTTTGTAATAGTTTTTGTTTTGGTTAACAATAACAACACTAATAAGAACACGCTGCACCAGAGATGACAACCACTGAAACAACTACACATTTCTAACACAATTTTATACAGAAAAATTGCAATGAGCAAAATGCAATAAAAATGGAATAAAAATACGAGCTTCGCATTTCTGATTGAAATCTCTCCAGAATGTCTTTCCACAAAGACTTCCATAAAAACAAGCAAAAAGTTTTTTTTTTTTTTTTTTCTTTTTTGCTAAAAGATTTTTCAACCCCTCTTTTTCTTCTCCAAGGGTCCTTTGATTGCAACGGCCTTTACCAATGGCTACCACTGAGGGGCGTCCAATCAGAGTCCAGCGTGGGAGGAGAAACTCACGCACTTGTGAACCGCGAGCACCGCTGACGACGTGACGTGCTTATGGGACGAACCCCACGGGCGGCTGCGGTCCCCCTGACTCCGCTCTGGAGTTTCCACCTTTTCTTTTTCTCTATTCTCCAAGCAAAAAGTTTTTTTTTTTTTTTTTCATTTTTGCTCAAAAGATTTTTCAACCCCTCTTTTTCTTCTCCAAGGGTCCTTTGATTGCAACGGCCTTTACCAATGGCTACCACTGAGGGGCGTCCAATCAGAGTCCAGCGTGGGAGGAGAAACTCACGCACTTGTGAACCGCGAGCACCGCTGACGACGTGACGTGCTTATGGGACGAACCCCACGGGCGGCTGCGGTCCCCCTGACTCCGCTCTGGAGTTTCCACCTTTTCTTTTTCTCTATTCTCTACTAACATCACTTTTCGTTTTCCTCATCCCGTATTTCCTTCCTGACGTATCCGACTCATTTATGATATGCTGCGGTCTCCAGCACTAATAAACATTTAGCACGGTTTGCACAAAAATTGTTTTCAACATTGATAATAATCAGAAATGTTTCTTGAGCAGTCCCCCTGACTCCGCTCTGGAGTTTCCACCTTTTCTTTTTCTCTATTCTCTACTAACATCACTTTTCGTTTTCCTCATCCCATAGTTTCTTCCTGATATATCCAACTCGTTTATGATATGCTGCCGTCTTTTGAAAGAAAAAAATGAAGAAAAAAAAAAACCATTGTCAAAACAATATTAAAAATGTCAAATATTTGATTGTACGTGCGGAAACACGCAAGGAATTTCGTTTCCCCGGAGAAGTTCAATTATATTTTATATTTACATAGAAAACAGTTCTTTTGAATTGTAATAATATTTCACAGTATTACTGTTTTTACTGTATTTTTGATCAAATGAATGCAGCCTTGGTGACCATAAGAGATTTTGTTCAAAAAAATCTTACAGATTTGAATCTTTTGGACATTAGTATTTCTGTTCTGCTGTTTTCTATTCTATTCTATATTTATGGAAAATGAGTCACACAACAAACACCATAAAAAGGTGCCATGAGAAGTTTTCAAAATGTATTGCTTTTAGTGTTAAACAGGAAATATTTCCAAATCTGTACCCCATGTTTCACTTTATACACTGACGAAACGGAATATTCACAATTTGTAAATAAAAATCTTTATTCAGTTACATTTTTCTGGATCTCTGAGATTAAATCAGACTGGATAGTTAAGGAAAAACAGCCAATATAATTTATTTTATTAATAATTACTTAATTTATAATAATAATAATTATATATATATTTGATTGTACGTGCGGAAACACGCAAGGAATTTCGTTTCCCCGGAGAAGTTTTTCTGCATTTGTTATGTATTTTTGCTGACTGTGTTTTTATGTTTTTACTGTACTCATGCTGTAACGAGAAAGAGAGAAAGAGAGAGCACGAAACTAAAAAAAAAAAAACTGGATTTGTTTGGTTTCAAACGAATCTAAACAACACAGAACAAATACGTGAGAATGAATCAAATTAACAAAAAACAAAACAAAACAAAAAATGTATATTTTGGTAGTTTTTACACAGCATTTATAATGTTATTATGAACATTCGTAAGCTAAATCGGTTATTTTTTCCGTAAAATTGGTTTTTACATGAGAAACATCGGGCCTCATTCATGAATTTTCTGCGTGAATCTGCATTCTTTTTAGATGTACGAATATTTGACACATTTTTACACAGAAATGGGTTCTGCGTCTTGAGGCTCATTGATCGGCTTCTTTTTGTAGATACTGTACATATTGCATGGATTTTGGGAGGGTTCGGATTGAACGATGGACTGGGGGTTGCGGGAGGGTTGAGGGTCCTTAATGGTTTTTAACATGCAAACATCTTTCTTCACATTGAATCTTGCGTTTTTGAGACTAGTTTCATGACCAGGTTGGACCGATGGGGGTCTTTAGTTGTGCTCCTCTCACTTTCGACTCCATTTATACTACGATCAAACTTTTGATAATTTTTCGGACTAAATTGTCCAATTCAAAAGACCTTTCGGTCGCTTTGGTTTTGTATGAATCCTCACGCTCGTGAATTTGAAACCATTCGGAAACCACGTTGTTTGATGTTTGCTGTCACTTATGAGGCGTCAAACCGCATCGCTGACAAACCAGGTTGCGTTTTCCATTACAGCAAATTATTTGGTCCCATTTTTGGGAAAAGGAAACGCGGTCTTGATCCGCCTCAGTTTCGAAGAGCACGGCTGCTGGGCTTCTCTTCATGCTGTTTTTGGAAATGTATATTATATATATAATTTTTTTGCGCAGTGTACTTCTATTGTAGGCCTAAAACTTTCCCGTTTTCCTTTTTCTTTTCGTTTTTTGACGCTACAATGCTGTTTTTTGAAGAAATGAAGGATAAATTTACAAAGCAAAGGAGTCTGAGCGCTGTTACACCTGTCGTTGTGTGTTGGGATGTGCGTGTGTGAGTGTAAGTTGCGGCGACTGCTTAGACTGAAGTATGGATGTACACGTAGCTAGTTTACATGCATTCAACTGCCACCTTTGAAACTGTCTCGTCTCTGCCAGTAATGGAGAGGAACGTCTCTGACAACACAGCTCTAATGGAGGCCTTCTGGGAAAATTGTTACGCTTGACTAATAACACGCATCCAGAGTGATTTATTTAATTTGTTTTTCATTTCAGCAACATTGGATCTGTTTGATTTCTACTTAATTGCATTCGTTTTCAGTCTTCCATTTGACACGTGTAGTAAAGTAATCAAAATTATTAATAAAATAATTTTTTTTTATGCTTTTATATTAAATGTTGTGTAAATATTTTAAAAATAAATTAAGGTTTCAATATTAACAGACCATGAAAAAAAAAAAACACTTTAAACAAAGTCAACTTTTTATATCAGGGTTATTATAGTTAACCAATGCTAAAACTAAAACCATGAAAAAAATCATTACTTAAAATAAATGTTGACTGAAGTAAAATAAAATTTTAAAAATCTTAAACTTACTGTATTTCAGCAAGAATAAGCTAGAAAACTAAAACAGAAAAAAATAACTATACGCAGACGTTTAAAAACAACAAAAAACGAATAAAATGTCAAAAAATAGAACTAACAAAAATTGCAATGAAAACAGAAAATATACAAATAAAAGCCTACACAAATTTAAATATTAAAAATATAATAGTACATCAGCAATACTAGAATAATGATATATTATCGTAATTATGCAATACTATAAATAATTATCAATAAAATAGAATTAATAAAGATAGATAGATAGATAGATAACCTTCTTTACATTTGTTTTGAATATTCAATTTCTCCAGTGTATAAAATAAAAGATAAGGTATAGCTTTTGATACATTTTCTGTTTATATAAATTGGGAATTACCCAATAGGATTTTAACGCCCCCGGTTGCCAGTTGGCAGAAAACACGTCGTATTGCATCCATGAAAACCTGCTAACGAACTCGCATATTCTACCTGACCTAAAAGAATCTCGGCATCCAACTAAAAAGCATATTAACACACAGATTAATCAACTCATCAACTTGCAATGTAAAGCTCGTCGCCTTGATGCATGTCCTCAATCTGGCAACCCACGTGAGTCTGAAGCTTGAAGCTGAAGTTGCGTGAAGCTTTGAGTCTGAGCGAGGAGGAGTGGCGGGAGAAACATCTCTCTTCAATACTTTGATTTTTGACTGCAGTACCATTTTAAAGGGGTCATATGATGCGATTTCATTTTTTCCTTTCTCTTTAGAGTGTTACAAGCTCTTGGTGCATAAAGAGCGTAACATTTCCGTCTCATGCTTGAGGTATTCGGCCAATCACAACGCATTGGATATCTGGCCAATCAGAGCACACCTCGCTTTTCAGACCGATTAGTTTTGTAAAAATCGACGCGTTTCAAAAAGGCGGGGCATAGAGGAGAAACAATAATGTACAGTATGTGGAAAATAATGTGTTTTTTTTTACTTTAAACCGCATAAACACATTTCATTACACCAAATACACAAAATAATGTTCTTTTTAGCAGCATCATATGACCCCTTTAATAGTTAGCTGTCAACATTACATACTGTACCTTTAATTTGATTTTGAACAAACTTGTGTTAAATGCTTAACTTATTGGCCTGGTTTCACAGACAAGGCTTAGACTAAGCCAGGATTAGGCCATAGTTCAATTAGGACGTGCTTTAGAAAATAAAAAAACATTACTGGTGTCCCTCTTGAGACAAAACAAAGGCATAGATATATTTTAAGATCAATCAGTGCAAGTTTCTTTCAGTTTAAACAGCTCAGACATTTTAGTCTGGGACTAGGCTTAAGCCTACTCTGTGAAACCGGGGGACTATCTCTTTGTGTTATGAACATGATTCCCGCTGTAGTTTGTTGAAGAGATGTGCTTGTTTGTTACTTGTTCAAGCATTCAGACAATTTTAACCTAGCACCTATGATAAAACAGGAAATAAATAAAATTGATATAAATAAATAGCCATCCAAAGCTAGAGACCAGAATATCATCACCTACTACAACTCCTTACCCTGATAGCACAAAAACATCTCAGAAACGTCTTTTTGATGTGCGTGTTTACATCTGTAAGTCGTGTTTTTTTTAGTGTTTGCTCATTTGCAATACGTCTCTATAGGACATTTCCTGTTAGATGTCAAATAGACATTTGGAAAATGTCTTTAAGATGTTTATAATTTAGAATGTATGTAAAACTGACATCTTAAAGAGGTCTATCAGATGTTTGTACACAGCAGATGCTTTCCAGATGAAGCGATCTTTCATCTTGCCGATGTAGGTGTGCTATCTGGGCAGCAACCGCATGCAAGACTAAAGATAATTGTTGGTTTGATTGCTGATATTAGTATATCAGTATATTAGTATATTAGTATTAGTAGAAGAATGTATCTTCTGTCTTTTATAGTCCAGAAGCAGTTATGATCAGGGGGATTATGAGGGTTCAAGGCGTTTAGGGAGGATGGCGCTCTATGTGTCCATCGCATCCATCATCATCGGCATCCTCATCATCACCATCTTCTGCGCTGTGCATTTCAGCACGGTAACATATTTAACATTTTAATATATTTTTCCCATTTT